ATACAGGCCTGGTCCAGAATCTTGGGTTAGTTGTTCATGACAGATGTTCTTTCTTTTGTTTTTTCTAATTTAAAATTTTTAATTCTCTGTTTGAGCAATCTGTTTAGGTGTAAGAGCTTTCTTTAAACTGGGGAACATGAATCCAAATGTCAGCATCTTTAAATTTGGTCACGTTATCAGTTAGGAGTACCTGAAAGTTTTGCATTTTAGAGAGTTTCGCGTCTTCTATGAATTTCCCTGAAGATGAAACATCTTTGTAGAAACATTTTTGTAAAAACATCAGAGTAAAACAGTAATTGTCTGTAAATGACAAAAAAACTTAAAAATGGCCATGGCTAATGGTTTGGAGAGAGTTTACATATATATGTACATATAGATAATATAATTGACTTAGCTATTCTAATCTTAATTAGCTTAACCATATATAAAAATTTGTTAAGATCTATCTTCCATGTATCTTTTGTAAATATATACACCTTTTGTAACATGCATATATTTTTTAGTTTTTGTTTTATCTTTTTTTAAATTTAGAAACAATCATTTTACTCTAGGACAGAATTGCTTTTTTTACTAAAAAAATGAACTTCATATGTTTTTTTAATCTAAAAAATATTTTTTTCTTCAACAGAAGTACATCTCTCTGTTTCATGGCTTTCTCTACTGAAAACATACATTTTATTTTTTATACACAGTTGTTTTATCTTTATTATTTTTTAGTTTTGTAAATAACCAAAGCTTTTTTACAAATCAGTTTTATAAAGGAATGTAAGCAGTAGTCTATACTTTAAAAAGGCCATTGTTTTCAGTCTCTGTGAGCAATGTTTTGGTTAGTTCCCGAGTATTTATGTTTTAAAGACATGATAAGAGCTTCAACTTTAAGAGACAGAAAAAGACTAATTTTTTTGGCGTTATTTGACAACACTTCCCATGTAATTTAACCTACTAGATAGGCTTGATTGGTTTGATTTTTTTTCTTTTACGAGAGAAAGAATAAATCTTTAAAATGTTTTAGGAATCTTCTAGAAGTACTCCAAAGTGTTTTTAAATCTCAAAGGTCAAGAAAAAGACTTTAATGTTTGAATCTTAGGAAGCTTTGTTAAACATATCAAAAGTTTAAAAATATTTGGTCAAATAAAATCATAGGTCATTGCGAAACAATACTGTTATTTATTTAATCAAAATGACAAATATAGAAGGTTACGTAGTTAGTAAAATTTTAGTTTTTTTATATTAAGAAGGCTCGGTGTACTGGAACAATTAAAGATCTGATGATAAAGAGCACAGAAGATCATTTATTTATATTACATTTATCGGGGTATCATTGGTTAATACAATTATATAAGTTTCAGGTGTACATTATAATTTGACATCTATATATTGTGTAATTACCACCCAAAGTCCAGTTTCCTTCAGATACCATATATTTGATCCCCTTTACCCCACCTACCTCTCCCTTCCTCTCCCACTCCCTACCCTCTGGTAACCACTAGTCCATTGTCCATGTCTATAAGTCTCTTTGTCCTGTTCATTTGTTGCTTTTAGGTTTATATCCCACATATATTTGATATCATGTGTAAATGATCTTTTTTCTCTTTTCATTATTCTATTATACGTTTCCCATTGAATTCAAAATATTCATGGAAGGACTTTTGACCTCATTGGTCATGAAATTTTGGATTTGGTGATGGATTTCAGAGAAGTAGCTGACTAGTCCATCTATTCACTTAAATTCGAACAGTGAAAGATTTCATTTATTCTTATTACTGTGTAAAATCTTATATTTTCTCTCGCTTTACTAATCCTAGGAGTAGTTTTTTGAGGAACCTCCATACTGTTTTCCATAGTGGCTATACCAATTTGCAGTCCCACTAGCAGTATATGAGGGTTCCTTTTTCTCCGCATCCTCGCCAACATTTGTTATTACTTGTCCTGTTGATTATAACCATTCTAACAGATGTGAGATGATATCTCATTGTGGTTTTGATTTATATTTCCCTAATAGCTAGCAATGTTGAACATCTTTTCATATATTTGTATGTCCTCTAGGGAGAAGTTTCTGTTTAGGTCTTCAGCCCATTTTTTGATTGGATCATTTGTTTTTTTGTTGTTATTGAGTTGACTGAGTTCTTTGTATATTTTGGATATTAGACCTTTATCAGAGGCATTCCTTGCAAATATATTTTCCTATTGAGATGGTTGTCTCTTTATCTCGTTGACGGTTTCTTCTGCTGAGCAGAAGAATGTACTCCCATTCATTTATTTTTGCTTTTACTTCCCTTGCCTTTGAGGTCAAATTCATAAAATTCTCTTTAAGTCCAAGGTCACAGGAAATCATTTAAATGAAACAAAGTCTGTGGGTCTTTTTATAATCTTATTAAGCATACCAATACTACAGGAAATTTTTGTTTTTTTTTAGCACAGAAGTAAGATTAAGTTTTAGCTTTACGTAATTACAACATTGATATTAAAGCTTAATTTTTAAGAATATCTGTATAAACAATTTTCACTAGCTTAATACATAATGTAAAATTTTGAACTAACCAGGAGAAAATTATTGTTATTTTTTAATAAAAACATATCTTTATATCATTTTTATTGAAAACATTAATTTTTATATTAAGTGTTAATAATTTTTAAAGACATGTCTGTTTTAATTAAACCAACTAACTTAAATCAGTTTTAATGTTAAATATTTTTTAGATCAGGTGATACTAAAAAGCATTTAGGTTAGTTTTTCTTATATTTTTTAATGTATGTAAGTGTTTAATTTTTTAAGCCAGTTAAACAGTGTGACCACAAAAGTGGCTCCGTAGTTACCATAGCCAGTTCTAGGGGATGCTGGCCCATGAAGGTGAGGCCACTTAAGATCCTGTTTGACTACACCAGATATGTTAACAAAAAATAAATAGATCATATTTATAATGGAATATTACTCAGCCACTAAAAAAAATGAAATCCTACCATTTGTAATGACATGAATAGACCTAGAGGTTATTATGCTGAGTGAAATAAGTCAGACAGAGAAAGATAAACACTATATGATTTCACTTATATATGGAATCTAAGGAACAAAAAGAGCAAACTAATCAAAAACGGACTCACAAATATAGTGGACAATTCGGTGACGGACAGAGGGGAGGGGGATTAGGGGACTGGGTGAATGGGATGAAGGGTTAAAGAAGTACAAATTAGTAGTTGACAGTTGGTCACGTGGATGGGGAGCACGACAGGGAATGTGATGGCTAGGTAGAGGGCCAGGGAGGGAGGGAGCAATTGGGGGGATCGTTTTATAAACTATATAGATGTCTAACCAATGTTACTGTATACTTGAAACTAATTTAAATAAATTTTAAAAAATAATAAGTAGGCCTTTTGAAATGAGAGGCAACAAAGCATTTATTTCAGCTAAATTAAAGCATTATTTGGGCTTTTGCCTAAATTAATGATTCCCAAATAGCTATTCTTATTAATCTCAAACATTTTATTGCCTCTCACTTCAAAAGCCTTTCTTATTTTTAAGGTAACAGCACTGTGTTTCCTTCAGGTATTTTTATGGTTTCTATTTTAACATTAAAACTCTATTTGGAGTTTATTCTGGTATACGGCAACATAACGTATGGATCCACTTTTAGCTTTTTCCAAATGACTATTCAATTACCTCAACATTATTACAAAAACTATCCCTTAGAGATATCACCTTTATAATAAATTTAATTTCCATATAAAATACAGTCTATTTCTGGCCTTTCTATTTGTGTTCCATTGGTCTAGCTCTAGAATCTGATATTCATCGAACGATCTGTTATTAAAAGCCAATTATAGGCCAGGTTTTGGTGACAGTGGCTAATGAAAAAGATGCTGTTTCTGCCTTTGAGGGGATTTGGGAGCAAGAAAACAAACAGATCAACAGATAATAAGTAAATGAAAATCTAATTACAATTGATAAAAGAGTTATAAGATGTGGGAGAGAGAATCAGTTATCTGACTGAAAACTTTTTTGAAAGTTTTTATCTGAGACCTGAAGGATGAGAAAAGCATCCATACCAAGAGCTCAGGACAAGATTCTTGATAATTGGAAAAACCTAATGAGAGGGCTAAGATGGGAAAGACCTAGATTTGTTCTAGATGTTCAAAAGAGGCCTGCAGTTGGTACGTAGAAAGGAGAGGGGAGAGTGCCCAATATGAAGATGCCCTGCCTTGGTTGAGACAACGTGACAGTGAAGACAGTCAGGGGCCTGCTTTTCCAAGAGCCTGTGAACCATGGCAGTGTGTTTAGAGTTTATTCTAAGTGCAGTGGGAAGACTGTGAAAAAGTTTAAATAGAGATTTTCATTTTGATTGGCATCAGCATCATATGGTAGAAAGTGTTAAAAATATAGATGCCTTATTTATATGAAATTCCCAGAATAGGCATTCATAGAGACAAAATTAGTGGTTCCCTGCCATTAGTGATTTTCAGGGGCCAGAGAAATGGGGAGTGACTGTTCAAAGAGCACAGGATTTCTGTTTGAGGTGACGAGAATGTTTTAGAGCTAGATAGTGGCTATGGTTCCATGATACGGGGAATTTATTGCAAACTACTGAATTGTTTAAAATGGTTAAATGGCAGATTTTATATGACATGAATCTTATTTCATTTAAAATACATATAACTTTAAAAATATATAGATATGTACGTATACACAAGTGCATGCACACACATTCGTTGGCATTACCTCCGTAGGTTTCAATTTTGTCTGCAATGGTTCCTGTCATTTGCATTGTTAACAGGTTTCCTGGAACCCGTGGCTTGATATATTTTCTTGCCCTTCAGGCACCATATAAGCTCTCATATTTGTGATTTCATGTGCTTTTTAGACATTGCCCAGCAATATCTGACACTTAGATAAGCCATTCACCTTATATGGTTATTATTTTCATTTTGTCTTTCTAGTCTACTGTAGAATTTTTTTTTATCGCTCAAGAGAACAGCCTGTATTTACTTTTTTTAATGTTTTTCAGACTTGGAGTGCAGGTGTGAGAAATTACCACAAAAAGATATCTTTGAAGTAGAATCATTCAGTTGGGAGCTAATGGAAAGCCTGAAATGCTGTAGTTTTGAGGGCTCCAGTTTTACAGAAGACTGGGAATACAGAGCCCAGTTTGAAAGACAAGTAAATCAGGAGTGCTATTTCAAGCAAGTGAAAATCACATATGAAAACTTACCCACTTTCGAGCATCATACATCCCTCACTCTACATCAGAGCAATGAGACTGGCAAGAAACTGATTGAATGTAATGAATGTGGGAAAGCCTTTAGCCGTGGCTCACACCTTATTCAACATCAGAAAACTCATACTGGTGAAAAACCCTTTGAATGTAAAGAATGTGGGAAGGCTTTTAGTCGTGCCTCACACCTTGTTCAACATCAGAGAATTCATACAGGTGAGAAACCTTATGACTGTAAGGAATGTGGGAAGGCCTTTGGTCGTACTTCAGAACTTACTCTACATCAGAGACTTCATACTGGTGTCAAACCTTATGAATGTAAACAATGTGGAAAGACCTTTAGACAGCATTCACAACTGATTCTGCATCAAAGAACTCACACGGGTGAGAAACCCTATGTATGTAAAGATTGTGGAAAGGCTTTTATTCGTGGCTCACAACTTACTGTTCATCGGAGAATTCATACAGGTGCTAGACCCTATCAGTGTAAAGAATGTGGGAAAGCCTTTAGGCAGCATTCACAACTAACTGTACATCAGAGAATTCATACTGGTGAGAAACCATATGAATGTAAGGAATGTGGAAAGGGCTTTATTCATAGCTCAGAAGTTACACGACATCAACGAATTCATTCTGGGGAGAAACCCTATGAATGTAAGGAATGTGGAAAGGCGTTTAGACAGCATGCACAGCTTACTCGACATCAGAGAGTTCATACTGGTGACAGACCCTATGAATGTAAGGACTGCGGAAAGGCCTTTAGTCGTAGTTCATACCTTATTCAACATCAAAGAATTCATACAGGTGACAAACCCTACGAATGCAAGGAATGTGGGAAAGCCTTTATTCGTGTTTCACAACTGACTCATCATCAGCGAATTCATACTTGTGAGAAACCCTATCAATGTAGGGAATGTGGAATGGCCTTTATTCGTAGTTCACAACTTACTGAACATCAGAGAATTCATCCTGGGATCAAACCTTATGAATGTAGAGAATGTGGGCAGGCTTTTATCCTTGGCTCACAGCTCATTGAACACTACAGAATCCATACTGGTTAGACAGCCTTGAGTGTTAGAGATGTAGGAAAGCCTTTATGTGGACTTCACACCTGACTCAGATAATGCCTGATGTAGTATAATTAATGTCAGAAAACCTTCATGTGTCGCTTCCATTATGGAACATCAGACAACTCTTACCAGAAGAAAATGTAATAAATGTGGGAATTCTTTTTGCCTCACACTCACTGTTTACTATGCATCAGAGAACTTATGGTGAAAAAATACGAATATGAATGTAAAAAGTGTTCTGTTACTATTCAATATGTATTAAAATTCTGAGAATTCTTAATAGAAAATAACCCTGTTAAAATATTTTGTGAGTATGCCTTTTGCCATGGCATATACCTTACTTAACATTATTTTCATTTTCACCAGTTACTGACTATATAGCGATGGGCAAATTATGCAACCTCTCTGTTCCTCAGTTTACTTATTTTTAAGCAGTAATAATTATACCTACCTAATACAGTTTTTGTGAAGACTGTCATATTTTACATAAAGCTATACTGAATAAATATTAGTTATCATTAGTTAACAGTATTAATGTTGAGTTCATATGAGAGGAGAGCCTTGTGAATGTATCAAGTATCAGCCTTTAGAACTGCTCATTAGATAATAATTCATTCTGAAAAAAACAGTAATAAAATATAATTATGAGAAGTACTTCATTCACAAGGTTAGAAATTCAGGATTAGTCCTGGGAACCTATAGCTACCCATTCATAGGAGCGAAGTCAATAAAGCATTGTCCCCATCTTTTAACTGAAAAAAAATAACAGTAGGCAAAAGAAATCTGCCACCTAAAACTCTAAAACCACTAAGTTTACCTTCAAGAGAAATCAAATCTAAAACTACGAACTAGAAATGAATGACAGTGAGTTCTGCGTATCAAAACCAGTTCGGGGTAGCCAAAGCTATACTGTCAGAAGCCAAGGATTGAAGGTAGGAGCTTTGTTCTTCCAAACGTAGATCTCCAGCACCTAGTCGATGCAAATCATATACCAAGCACATTGAATGAATGGTCAACTCTAAAAGTTAGGAAAAATTTGCCGCATAAACCCAAGTCAACACTAAGAATGATTATTAAAAATAGAAGAAAAAATAAAGTAGAAAACAATAGACTTAATCTGGAGGTTGTTTATTTAACAGTGTAAGATAGATGATTGACAAGTCTGATCTAGAGAAGACACATTTACCATTAATGAAAGGGATAGATTTTTTTTAAAGTAGCTCCTACGCGTAACTTTATTCTAATATATTTGAAATCTAGAGAGAATGAATTTTTACAAAAATCACAAAATTGGTTCAAGAAGGTGTAGAATACCTGAATAAATCAGTGATTTATAAATAAAAAGTAATTAAAGCTCTGTCCCTTCAAAGAAAGTTTTCCTATAGAAACTTCAAGAAACAGATAATCCCTAAGAGAAGCTGACAGTTCATTTTAAAGGCTAAACAAAATTTTGATTAAAAATCAACAAGGATAGCTCCCAAAAAATAAATTGTAGATGATTATATTTTGTGAAGATAAATATAAGTAAAATTCCTGCTAATTCAATCTATTGAAATTAAGAAGCTAATTTTAAATGGAATGTCTGGAATTTCACTTGTTCTGGATTATGTTTTTAGAATTTTGATATTGTAACTCTAGGAGATGACAATGACAGGGAAAAGAGCCTTGATCCAACCTCAGTGACATCTGGATCAAGGCTTATGAAAGAATCTGAGAAATCTCAAGAAATGGATCCCCTCAGCCCTTGGAGTCACCAGGCAGTATCGGATAGAGAGCCCATTGTGCCTCACATGTCACCCATCTTCTCAGACATCCTGAATGTTTTGTAAAAACACCTGCATTTTCTGCATGTGCCACTGCCTACAAAGGATTAGAAAGCAGTGTTTTGTACCTCATTTTTCTTTAAATGGTTTAATGATTAGGATGTACAGTTGAAGGAGTTCAAAGCTATGACATTAAAAATTGTCACTTTGAATAGTTAAAACACATGCGCAGGATAAAGATTTTAAAGTTACAATTTGGCATATAGACATAAGTCTTCACACTATCTCTGCCCTGTTTCCACCTCGTTACCTGTTACATAGCAATCACTTCTATTAATTTCTTGTACATACTTCCTGATTTTTATGTTTGTGTAAGGGTAGATATATACATAACATACTCTCTATAAAAAATTTTTTACACGGATGGTAGCAAATCTCTATGCATTGCTATTTTTGCTTATCCATACACCTTGAACATTGGACCGTATCAATACATATATAGCTGTCTTGTTCTTTTTAACAGCTGCATAGTATTCCATCGTGTTTCATAGTTTTTGGCCTTATCAATTTCATTTTTTTTTTCATTATTTTTAGGTCTTTCAAACAATCCTATAATGTCCTTGCACATAAACTATTTTATGTGTGATATATCTTTAAGACAAATCTCTCAAAGTGGAAATGCTATATCAAAATGTACATACTTTTTAAACTTCTGTTATGACAAATCTGAACATATATAAAAATACACAGCATATTATAATGTACTTCAGTGCCCCATCACCAGCTTCAATAATTATCAGCTCATAGCCAGTCTTGTTTTATCTGTAATTCCACTAACTCCCCAGACCTACATATTATTTTTGAAGTAAGTCTCACATATATTATTTGATCGATAAATATCTTAGTATCTCTAAAGTACAAAACAACTTTAGAAAAGATTTTCAGTCTCAATTAAAAAAATTGACAATATTGCCTTAATGCCATTACATATCTGATAGTGTTTTAATTTCTAATTCATAAATGTCAATTTAAAAAAAATTATTGGGATCCAAATAATGTCCACAAATTACAGTTGATTGTTATGTCTCTTAAGTCTCAATCTGTGCATTCCCCCTCATCCTTTTTTCCTTGCAATTTATTTTTTGAAGAAATGAGGTTGTTTGTCTTGTAGAATTCCCAGATCCTGCTTTTTGTTGGCTGCAGCCCGAAGGTATAGTTTAATATCTTTGGTATTTCCTATAAATTGGTAGTATCTAGAAGATTAATCAGATTGAGATTCAATTTTTTTGATAAGACCACTTATAGGTAGTTAATATTAAGAGACATAATATTTAGGTATCCCTTTATGATTTGGCAGCAGCTGATGTTCAATCAATACATTTATTCATTAGGGACTGCAAAATGATATGGCATCTTTATTAGCTAGAGTATTTTTGTGAAGAAAAATGTCCCTTCTACTATTTGGTTACCCATGTTACAGTAAGGAAAGGCAGGATAAATGCTTCTTTCTTTCTTTATTGTTTTTCAAAATAATGATTTGGTTCCCTAGTATTTTGCCATGGTCACCAATGAGTTAGGGGATAGGAATTGTCAAGATATTTAATATGTTTAAATCCATTTAAGTTGTACGTCATTGATGTTCAAATTGTTTCATGTTTGATGTGTGGATGCCTCTAGCAGTTGGCTCCTGTATCCTTTTGATATGACCTCAGTAATCTTTAATCACTCACTTGTATCTGATGCAACAAGATGTTCCAGGCTCATCATCTTCATTTCCTGCCTCCCACCTTGAAGTAGCCATTTCCGGGAGTCTACTTTTTTTCTTTTTTTCTTTTTTTTTGGTATTTTGATACTCTTCCCAAAATTTGGAAACCACATTGAACTGCTTGGAGTGCTTCATTCTCCTGGTTGACTACTTCTTAGAATTATGTTCATTTTAAGCTGTTTTATACACATTGTTCCAGTGCCTTCAGGAAGATTATGGATCTATGCATCTACCCACAGTAGAAGAGATCCCAAAGGACCACGTTCATCTAACCCTGGAGAAAACATTTATTTTTAACACAAACCATTTGGTGGATGAAAATGGAAAATTCACTTTTGTTTTAACTTGCATTCCTTTGATTATGATTAAAGGTGACCATATTTTTACATATTTGTTTCTTTTTTTACATATTTGTTTATCGTTGGTATTGTTTTTAGCATCATGCCTAAAACATAGTAGGTGCTCAATAAATATTTGTCAATTGAAGAATTGTATGTTTATAACCTTTATTTAATATTGGGGTAGTCATATTTGTCTTACTAAAAGAGCTATTTGTGAGAGGAATAAATGTGTATAAAGTTCCTAGCACAATGCCTGAAAGCCAAGTTTTAGTTCCCTGCCTTATTTGCTATACATTGTCATTTGTTTCTTTTTTTTATCTGCTTTAAGAGAGAAAAGAAGTTGAGAGTCAAAGAGATTAAGTAGCTTGTCCAAGGCCTCCTAAGTGGAGAATCCTAATTTCAAGGACAAAGGCAAGATAGGGTAAAGTTTTAGGTGTACAACTTTCAGACTGTATAACTGAAAAGGAAAAATCAGTGTTTTTTTCAGATAATCTATAAAATGCAATCAGTTCATAGTCCTAACACAGAAAATGGCAATGCTAGAAATAAAGATATGAAATAATCTTTTTAAAAATATTTTTTGTTTTGTCTTCATAAAAAGTAAAAATGCTCAAAGAATACAAAGAAAAATTAAGGGAAAACTTTTAGTATCTTCATTCAAACATAATTGTTATCATTTTTGCATATTTCTAGCTTGTAAGTTTTTAAAAATTCATACTTTTTTATGGAAAATTTCAAACATACACAGAAGTAGAAAATACAATACAGTAAACCCTCATAGTCTCATCAGCCTGCTATAAAAACAGTCAACCCATGGCCAGTCTTGTTTGTCTGTACTCACACCTACTACTTTCACTGAATTCTTTTGAAAGCAGAATATTTATCTCTAAAAAGGAGACTAAAAAAAAATCGGTAAGAATTTATAATCCTGAGCCATTAGTAGGGAGGGAGGACAATAAAATTTTGTATTAAAATCCATTTTAAGCTGATACTATGATTCTCGTGATTGCAGAGAAAGTTGTTTCATATAAATTGGGAGAATTAGGAATTTAGGAAAAAATTTTCCTAGGAATAACATTCTTTCCCAAAGGTCTCTCTTCAAAAATATTTCAAGTGAAGTGTGAAGAGTTTTTATTGTTTGTATTAAAATTTCCTGAATTGGTACAATTCTTGCCATAATTCTAAATCCTTGATGTATTAAGAATTGTATGTGCTGCTTTAATCCTAGAAGGCAGTCACATATTTAGAGAATGACAGAGTTAATAAATTAGGCAATGATAGAATATGGAGAGAAGATGTAGGTGGAAAATCTTCCTTTTACCAAAAAATATATGTAGCTAGATAGAGATATGAAATTTTACACTTGGAAGTCACCATGCCTTAAACTTTGAATAGAATTTCACAAGTCATTCCAAAGAATTTGCATTTTAATTTTAGAAATAATGTTTGATATCTTTGTTAGATTCATAAGCAACATTAATGATGCAACAGCTTGCTGAACTAATTCATCCAGATATCCCTCAGATATCTCTAGTGTAATATCTAAAACCAGATTTTAAATTTCTCTTCCCCTACCTTATAGCTCCAAAATCCTCTTTTTCCTCTATATTTGTAAAATGGCTTGCTTAATGAAGTCACAATCTGCCTTGTCTCCCAAACCAGAAATGGGCTTCTGATACCTTATCTTCCACTTTTATTTTTTTTATGTATCAGTTTATTTAAATGTTATTGGAAAAGTCTTAGAAAATATAGGCAAGCAAAAAATGAAAATAAAAATCTTTCATAATCCCCCTACCCAGAAATAGTCACTGTTTGCATGCTGGTGTGTTTCCTGTCAATCGTCTATGGATGGGAATATATCTAGACCCCTGCCTCCACATATTTTTAAACAAAAATGGATATATACTGTACATCGATGTGGTACTGCTATTTTCAAGTAATATGTTTTGAAATTTTCCCTGTTACCTATTTTTGGTCATCTCATACCATTTAAAATTTTTTACCTTTTCTTCCTTTCCAGTTGAGAGGATAATATTAAACAGAAATATATAAAGCATATTGACAAGCTGAGGAATGCAAATATATTTGTTAACTTTTTTCTTTTTTTAAATTGTACTTTCAAAACTTTGAAATCGCTAAGATTTTCATATTTAACTAAACACAAAGTCAGAAGGAACATGAATAACAATCTCTTTAAAATACAAATTCCTTTTGATGCCCTCAAATGAAATAATAAACTCAAAAGGCTACTTTTTATATAGATATTCTCCAGCAGGGGTTGGCCGGATCGCACCTGCTGCCTGCTTTTGTACAGTCTATAGCTCATCACGGTTTTTATATTTTAAGTAATAACATTTCATGACACATAAATGATATGAAATTCAAATTCGAGTGTGCCTCAATAAAATTTTATTGGAATATAGCCACATTTATTTACCTATTGTCTATGGTTGCTTTTACACTACAACGGAGTACTCACGACTAAGATCATATGTGGCATACTTATCACTTCACACTGCTGCTACACACTACAAATCACAGTAACACATTTTTACTGACAGCATTTCAAGTGCCATGCAGATCACTATACTGGGACATTTTATTATTTTTATTACCAGGATATACCTGTCAAATCGACACAAAAAAAGTGGACTTAGAATATTCCATTTTTAAGGTACAGTGAAGTGTAGATTATTTTGTTAAATTAGATGGCAAAGCGTTATGTTTATCATGCAATAAACCTGTATTTGTGTTATAATACAGTATATGTCGACATTACCAGACCAAGAACTCATCACAATATTACCAAATCACAAAAATACATTCAGAAAAGTTAACAAAAATTAGAAGCTAATAGTAAATTTTCTTCACAAAAAAAGAAAAAAAAGACATGAAGGAAACGAGGCTACAACCAAAGTACATGTCCAAGTGGCTCATTTGCTAGCCATGCAAGAAATTTAACATTGATTGATTACAGCAGCTGAAAAAATGTATCCAGAAAAAATAAACCTTTTTTAGACAGTTAGCCTTTGGGTAAGAACAGCTGCTTAAAGTGTTGAGCCCACTGGATACAACATCAATAGTCAATTTAAATTATTTAGTGAAGGCAAATTACTTTGAGTGGTTTTTCTTGGCTCTTAATAAGTTAACAGGTGTCAGGGTACTGTTCATTTGTTCCTGTTTATTCAAGGAGTCAATGTTTGAAGTGACTGCAGAATTAGCCTCTCTGAATAGGCTGCATGAAACAGGTGAGAATATTTTTGAAGAAGCTGAGAAAACACTAATTCAATACACCTGAAGAGAAATCAGCTACGCTGTGTTACAACTTGTGGAAGTAGAAACTGGTTTAGTTTGATAGATTTACACTTGTGAAAATGTATGTCTGAAAAGGTCTTTATTTCTCCATATCTGAAGGAGACTTTTGCTAGATACATTATTTTTGGCTGGTAGTTCCTTTCATTTAATAGTTTGAATATTCGATTCCACACCTTTCTGGTTTGTAAGGTTTGTGCTGAGAAGTCCAACAATAATCTAATGGGTTTTCCTTTCTAGGTTACCGTCTTCTTTTCTCTGGCTGCCCTGAGAATGCTTTCTTTGTGACTGATTGTTGATAATTTTAATACAATGTGTCTTGGTGAAGGCCTTTTTGAGTTGAGATAATTGAGTGTTCTGTTGTCTTCTTGAATTCCAAGCTCCAGCTCATTCCTTAGATTTGGGAAATTCTCATCAACTATTTGTTGAGTCTGAAAATGCTTTCTAATCCCTGCTCCTTTTCCTCCCCTTCAAAAGTGCCCATTATTCTCATGTTTTCTCTCCTGATGCTATCAGCTAGTTCTTGTGTTTCTCTTTCATTATTTTTCATTCTTTGGTTTCTCTCTTCTTCTGATTTACTTCTAGATTTCTGTCTTCGATATCACTGACCCTTTCCTCCATATCATCGACTCTATTTCCCATGCTTACTATTTAATTCTTCATCTCTTGTAGTGTGTTCTTCATCTCCAGAAGTTCCGTTTGGTTCTTTTTAAGGGTTTCAAATTCCTTGCTAAAAAACTCATTCTGCTGATCTAGTTACTTTTTCAATTCCTGAAATTGTTGATATGAGTTGTTTTGCATCTCACTGAGTTTTTTCAGAAGTATCATCCTGAATTCTCTGTCATTTCAGTTGCATATTTCTATGTCTATAAGCTTATTTTCTGGAGATTTTTCTCTTTCTTTCTGAGCTGCCTTGTCACTTTGGTTGTTCCTGTTGCTTAATGGGCTATTTCTCTGCCAGGATATTAATGGA